ATAAATCTATCAGTGTGAGAACTATGGTAAAAAAAAGGGACTTGCGATGACTGATCACCCAATTCAGTAAGTACTTGTTTAAAATAAGTAGACCCCCCATTTGACGCACAGGGACGATAGTGAAGGAGGAAACAATGTGCACTCTATGCCTACGGGAAACTAAAGCTATAAGTCAAACATTTAATGCAAAAACGTAACACTGCAAGGAGACTGACAGAAATATTGCATCCAAATACGAGATGATTGAAACAAAATATGACCTAAAACAGCTGTCCAAGCGGTTCATAGGAAAAAAGGGATAAGAATGACTTGTATGATAATCTAAACAGGACACGGGAGCAGGAACCGTCTGCAAAACATGTAGCTTGGCGCCAAATTTCGGGGAAATTAGGTTTAGGAGTGTGGCGAGAACTAGGATTAAAGGTTACGGTTGGGGTTAATGTTGAAGTTTGAGTTTGCGTGAGGACTATGCTAAGAGTTAAGTTTCGTGTTACTTGTAGGGTATAGGTTTGAGCTACGGCTAACATTAAGAGTGACGTTTTATGTTAGGGTTAGTATATGTGTGTGTTCGACCATCGATTTCGATGAAGCCCACCAAGTGCACGAACAGGTTGGTACAGAAGGTGACGGCCTCAGGGGGTAGATTATAGTCACAACGGACGTAGTTAGCGCCAACCGCACTCCCCCCTTCGCCCGGGGTCAAGAAGACCAAACGGGACCCGGCATTGGCCGCTTTCTCCAATGCAAGCCAGAAACACTGCCTAACTTAGCCTTAAGTGACAGTAGACTTTGCACGGGTACTACCGCACTACCTGCCTTAATCAAGGCAGGCTCAAGAAGACCGAGACTGATACGGTTACTCTCATTTCTACTACTAATTATTATTTAGCAATGTAGCTGCGCGTTGGTAGTACTGGTACTAACGCTGACGCTACTATTTGTTAGAGGTGACGTTAATCAAAGCCAACGCTGGGGCTCATATCCCCTTGGGCTCAATAAGGGGTGTGAATCTGGGTTTAAACTATTCCGAGTAAGTACGTGTTTGGGACCCTGAACACACCAGAGCTTGCCTTGGTTTCCACCCTCTCAACTCTATCCACCAGGCTGTGTCC